GGGGGGGTACGCAAATTTCAAAACCAGATGAAGTTTTGAAATCATCGCACCCCCTGCCTCCCGTTCCCGTCCCGGGGCTTCCCTTGGACGACAAAGCTACCAATGGCTGTTTAGTGGCTTGATATTCATTCCAATCGCGGGAGAGGCACACCGCCGTGTCCTTCAGGCACGACTGGGCAGGAAGAAAACTGAGGTTTTTGAAATTCATCTCTTCCATCCCCTGGCTATTAGTACTGTACAGTATGATAGATGCCCACAAAGTGCGCAAAATTTCATGCACATATCCGAGGTAAATCTTCTTATAGATTGCTCTGTTAATTCTTTCTCCTATCAGCTGATGCCCATTTCTAAGCCGTGAAGTATAATGTGTCCGTACTGTATCAAACAGGCTCAGACAGGCTCGTTGTGAGTGCAGCAACTCAACTCAGCCTCTGGACAATGTACGCTTTGTCAATTTAAGAGGCCTTGAGCTGGATGTGGAATTTTCTCTCCATGGAAGATGTTTTTAAACCTTACATCTATCTGCCTCTCCATCATGGGCAATCTTTCAACAGAAGAAATCGTGACTATCCTGAGTACAATCCCAGGGCTTCTCATATCGTGTTTAAGTGCTTGGTTGGCGTACCTTGCCCTTCAGCGTCGACATGTACCCCGGAACGACATTGAGACCGCCACTATCGAGTGTATTCTTAGACACATCAGTACAAACCGGCCGACGTATGAGTACCTATCATTCCCCTAAGTTTTCTGTATCTAATACATCTGTAGCCGTGACGTGCAGTCCTCGTACGAAACCACGACCGAGATCTTACTTCTAAGCGAAAATCTGCCCCAGCTACCAACTGCGGTCTACCGAAACATAAATAGACGAGGAGAGTGACAACACGGACATGAGTTATTTTGCCTTTTGGGGACGGTTCATGTCGATAAATCTCCTTGAGTGTATATTAATTGGTATGAGTGCTTGCAAGGAACACAACTTAAGGCAACGGCATATAATCAATCAGCCAGTCAGGATATACAGCTGGTCACTTAAGTCCGCCCCACCCAAAACTTCAGAGACGTCCGGTAGCGCGACGATTAGCGTAGGCTATTAACGCGTCCAACGTCACCACTTAAGCGCGTCGTGTCGCGCAGCCAACTCGAGCCCCACAGTCTCAGTCTCGTCTCAGTTCCCGTAGAGGTTGATCTATCTCACCTCATCCCATCCTCTCTATTTACAAACCATTGTACTCCGTAACCTTGACCTAATTGTTTCGATTTCGTTTGTACACTCAAAAACCTGTCTTCCCCATAACAAAAATGGCCCACAAACGCAAGCGATCCGTCTCTGAGCTCTGTGCTTCTCCCTCATCAGTCTCATCCTTCGACTCTCCTCCTCGACTCGGCAACTCCATTACCAATCCTTTCGCGATCATGGCATCAACGCCTATTCACCTTCACAGCCGAACAATGAAGCGATTCCGCGATAATCGACCTTCAGAAGAGACTATTCATCGTATGTTTTGATGCAACAACCGTGCACTGTATATATGCTAAATGAGTTTAGAACGTACTCTCAACATGCTTTACTCAGCTCAGAGCCAACGTCAACACACTGAACCTCCATCTGAGAACATGCAAGCACCACCTCAACCTGCACAACCTGAATCAAACCAACAGTCTCTGCACCGGTTCTGGAACATCTCTTCGGCTCCTTCAGCCCCGACAACCAACCTGGGCCAAACACAGCTCACCCCCTCGAACTGCGACGACTGCGGTGCTGGTCTCAACAGTGGTAATGATGGCATGGATATCGATGGTATCGACAACGAGGATCACTCGTGCGGTGCTTGTGGAAAGCATGTTTGCTTCAGCTGCTCTGTGAGCAACCTTGGCGAACAGCGACGCTGTCTTCAATGCGCCGGTCCAAACGATCGACCTACACGTGCGACATGGAATAGAGTCACTGCATCGATGTTTTGATTGGATATTGTATGGAATTGGGTAATGGAAAAGGATTAGCGATACTTTGGGTTATTGTAAGGGCGTTCAACTGGGGCAGCATACAAGGGGGATACCATTTGCACCATTGCTTCGAATAGCATCATCGGTAGGGTTTGTGCAACACGTTTATGTAGGTAGTTAGCATCACGCGTTTTCGTGTAACATTTGACGAGAAACACATGTCAAAATCACATAATCAACCATCATGAAGCAAAGCACGTAACAAAGTGAAATCTTAATTAAAAATGATTATGACAAATCGAATCTATAAAGCAAACGCAACCACACAGAAAGGATGTGACCATCTAACCACGTCGGCGAGTGGTAGGGCTCTTCTTGGGAGTAGCGGTGGTAGAGGAAGAGGGTGTCAGAACAGCAGGCTTGGCCGCAATGGGGGCAACAGGTTGCTTGCCCTTGGCCTTCTCAGATGGGGCGTTCCAGTAGAAGATCATCTGGAGAGCGAGGATGGCGTTGAGGACGAAGCCAGACACGAATCCATAGAGGATGAGCTTGTCGTCAACCTCTTGGAGGGTTGTGAAGATTCGGGACAGAGATCCAGCGAGGTAGTTGAAGACCTGAATTACAGTTAGTCATTGCACAATAGTGAGTATAAAAAAGGATTGACTTACAGCAAACGCGCTGAGCTGACCAGTACCACCCTGCTGGAAGATGGTGAGGATCTGAGGCAGCTTGCTGGCAACGCTCAGAACACCAGCACCAGCCTGAAGGTAGCTCAAGGTCTGCGCATCCACAACATTCTCAGCAAATAATGTAGCAACAGTTCCAGCAAGCGCAGCAACAAACACAGCAGCCAGACTAGCACGACCACTGTAGTTCAGAACAAGCACCGAGATGATGACGTTCTGTCCCACGATCAAAGCAGTCTCGCCATATGTGCTGAAAGGAAAGCCATTTCGGAAGTTGTAGGCGAGCGAGATGATGTAGGATGCCGTCTCGAGAAGGTATGAGAGGAAAGAAACACCCTCGGCGGACTTGGAGTTGATGAGCTTCAGGATCTGGGGGACCTTGACGATGGACGAAGCGGCGATGATACCGATGCCGAGAGCCTTGGAGACGGCAAACTTGATGCAATCGGCATCCTCGATGTTGACGTCGAGAAGGAGAGATTTGTAGCAGGTCTCGCCGATGATGGAAACGCCCAAGTCGCGAATCGGCGCGGGGAGGTTATGCGTGATGGGAGTGATGGCTGATTTGAGGGCGTCCATGATGGTCTGATACCAAGAATAAGGTAAAAGAAGAGGTGTAGAAGAGAAGCCTGTCAAAGCTCAGTGATTATACAAAGAAGTGATTCAGAAGGAGTGTGAAAGAAGTAGACAAAGACGTCACAAAGCTCGGAATTGCTTGTCTCAACTTTCAGAAGAAGAGGCCAACAGTACGTGATGAAATTGGAGATGACCGTTGCCTCATTGGAGTTAGTGGAGTCAACCCTGGTTCTGCCCTACATACGACAAAGTGGCTTACCCTACATCAGCGAATTCAACGGTCTCTGCTCCAGGTTTTCGGAACAGATTTGCTTGGTTGGGCCATTGATTGAAAATGGACCCCTGTCCTCGAGTAAACAATGACATCAGTGCCATGTTGTTTCATGCATTCTCGCGTTGTACATATGTACCGTCCCGTTTACAAAAATGTCCGAATAGACTGATCTATCAGCCTCAAATGACGCTGAGGGAACATGTAAGAATCTTCGAGATTATTCAGCCCATGCCAAATCATCTCACAGATCTTGGTGGGGGTTCAGCACACACCGTTTCTGCGAGACAAGCCAAAAAGTACAGTCAGCTCAGCCTCAAGAGGGAACCAACCAGGTTTGAAAACAGCTATTTTCGTGTTATGGGCTTAGATTACCTTACACAGCCGTAGACCATTGCGAAAATGAAAGTGAAGGGAACCCACTTCTATTTCGGCTTGGACTCTTGTACTGCCTGAGGTAGTCTTCGTGGGAGGGATCACCCGGGACGCCTACAACAGTGATGCACGTGTCAGGCCACGAGGGGCCGGCAGTGAGGGCTGTTGTTATGTGATATGATGTCTGTTTGCGTTATGATATGTCAGTTCATGATGCGTTGTGTTTGTTTGTCGGAAGTACGCTGTTATTGCAGATTCCGATGGGGGACGGGATAGTTATAGACACCGTAGAGACGATTGACAATACAAAGGGCAGTGTAACAAAGAGATTGAAGAAACAAAAGATCAACATGGCAAATAGGTAGGTAGGTAGCCCCGGATGATACAAGAGTCAGCTGCTTATTGTACAGAGCATCTGCTACCTTAGTGAGCAGCCTTTTGTCAGCCACCCGCAGTCTCCCAGGCACATCCATGTAAGAGACCAGTCAAATCATGGAACCAACTCTTTTCCTCCCACTCTCACAAGCAGCAGCAGCAGCAGTAGCAAGCGTCTCTTTTTCTGTCTTCTTCTTGTCTCTTTGTGCCTTGTTTGTCATTCATTGCCTTGTTCCTGTGCTCGTGCTTTTTTTTCTCTTTCTTTTCCCTCCCGTCTTCCCCTTGAATACCTACCTAAATACTCCGTTAAAAAGATCCTCGTCTTTCTGCCCACTTCTTCGCCAACTCTACCCCGGTCAACTCTGCCTGGCATTGCCTTGCCTTGCCTTGCCTTGCCTTACCTTTTGACTCAGGTAGTTTAGGTTGTCATTGTCATTTCATTCATCAGCTGGGCTCCATCTCATATAAGGTATTGGATCCCAACCCGAACCTGACGAACGGGACTTGATCGGGTCTGTGCTACTGTGCACTTTTGCGACTTTTATCGTCGTCTTTACTTGACTTTACCTTTTTATTTCCCCCGTTGTGTTTAAAGAGTCTTGTCGAATGCACCATCGCCCTCGTTTACGGCATCATTACAACTTGTCCATCTTGGATATTATCGATCCGCTGACCGCCATCCACGTTTCCCCGCCATCTGCCCTGGATGTGAGCGCGCCTACATCGTGATCTTTTTTCTCGGCAACCTCTCTTCTCACCTTCATCTTTGATCTCACTATTCGCCTCTTATACTTCAACTATGGCGGCCCCTCCAAAGACAGAAGCCCCGCCGGGCGCAACCTCGTCAACCCCGCCGCCTCCGGCTATTGAGTATTCGTATATGTACGAGAAGGATAAGAGCCCGTCAAAGCTATTAGATGCTCTATTAAGAGCTATAAGTCGTCATATTGTATGCGCGCACCCTTTCTTTAACCACTTGTTTCCCAAATTTGCCAATATTCGAATGATCGCATGCTAACCACCTTACGTCATAACAGATACTCGAGCTAGGCGATAAAACCGTTTGTCACCTTACTCCGGAAAAGCTGGCCGCCTTCTACAGGGCTGTCGGAGGCGACTATGACTGTAAGTTCCATAGCGACTTTGTGCGACATATACCTGATCTTTAAAGCTCTCTTTGAAATGCCACACGAGTCCATCTCATACATCTGGCAAGTCACTGGATGTCAACACACACTACAGCCAACCGACGACGATTTCGCACCACCGTCAATACCTGCCCTTACCGCTCGAGGGTTCTCGCGATGGGAATCTCTCGAGATCCTTCTCGGCCCCGAGGAACACGTTCCTTTTTTACAGTTTGCCGTCAAGAACTGGCAGCTAAAACATCCCGAGACAGGCCAAGACTTTCCAGCCGACCTACCTCCAACTGTATTCCCAACACAAGCCGATGCCGAGGTGGATCGATGGCATAAGTCGTGCGCCGAGAAGTTACGAAAAGAAGCAAACGCTCGAGAGAAGGAGGCATACAGAGAAGCACGAGATCCGATGGGGCCTGGTGAACCTCCTGAAGGACCAGAGCCCAAGTTCGCCTACTCCCACGTGAGAGGAAGTGCCTTTGCTGGAACCCGAGCCAGGCCTGAGCGACCGTTGTACAATCATGTGCCGGGCAGACATGCAGGAGGGCGACCAACCAGACCTTCACCTGAGAGGTACAACAGCCGCTCTGACGAACATGCCCGACGACGAAGCTTCTCCGACTATAATCAGCAACCTTCGCCAGATGTACCACCACATGCACCGCATGCGCCCCCGGGGTCTTATCTGGACCCTCATGCGAAGCGGCCCGCACCGCCTCGTCGACACAGTCAGCCCAGGCACTACTCTTCAAACTCTAGTGATGATGAGCCGGTTCCTCCTCGCGCAAAGAGAAGACCTGAAGCAAGCCCGCCCTCACCGACGACTCGTCGATATTCACCAACCAATGATCGCCCACCTCCTGTTGCTAGCAACCCGCCCCCAACATTCCGACCTCACCGCGCAGATGGGAGAGCTTCAGACGATTCCACCCGCCGACGATCAACACACAGCCCCAGCCTGCGAGAAAAACTGTCCGAGAAAGTCTCAAACATTCTCCCCAACGGACTCAGCAGCAACCCAGATCGCACCAGAAACCCACCTAGAGCCCCATCCTACAACACCGATTCGTCCCGCGGACGCCGAAGCCGAGACCGACTTCCCCCATCTCGACTCAGCAGAAGCTACTCCGACATATCAGGAGCCTCCTCAGAAGCAGAGTCCAGCGACGAAGATCTCAAGCGATCAAGGCGGATGCGTGAAGAGCGAGATAGGGAAAGGGAGCGAGACCGCGAGCGAGAACGAATTCGCGACAGGGGTCGACAGCGGGAACTTGACCGGGAAAGAGAAGAAGAGAGACGTGATCGGTACCTGCGCCGACCAGACATGGAGAGACGGACTAGCAGCCATGCGGATGCCGAGCGAAGACGCGACTATCCCGGTTGGGATCCGCGAACTGAGAGGAAGAGATGGGATAAGCGCATGCCGCCTGATGAGCGGGGGACAAGTCCTCTTGTGGTTTCTGGGAGACGGTATGCTGAGCCGGCGTACCCTTAATCCGGGGTACATGTGGATTTAATGCCGAGATTGGTATGCATGGATACTAAGTGTTGAGCACTGAGAGCGATATTGAGCATTTTGGGATTTCATATGGATCTGTTTTGGATATGACGAAATATAGGGTTTGCAGAATATGGCGTCTGGATAGACTGAGGGAGATAATGACTATGAATACATATACTCCATGGAGCAATAAGCATTTATTCCTATCAAGTTACTTTACTCTCCCTTTCTTGACATTTAGTCCATGTGTTTTACTCAGTATACTACAACAGCAATTTCTATAAACCCCAACTACAGCATTGTTTCTCCTCAACATCGCCAAAACAGCCTCCTCCACTGAGCAGCCCCACGGTTACGCCATGGCTTCATTAAAGTGCCGCGATCACAGTAGCTAAGCCGGTCCAGAGCGGGTTTCTCCCGGGGTTATAAGCTACAAGGGTGCTTCAGAGTCTGGCCCCTCACCAAGCTCAACCAAAATCCCAAAACCCCTCTCACTAGGCGAGCCAACGAGAAATGTCGAATTGCCATCAGGGGTCTCGTAGTAGGCCAAGATCCTTTTTTTCAACAAAATGAATACCGTTGTTCACGGGTAGCGGGCCGAGAGATGGAGCCTCAACTTTACAGCTTTATAGCGGTGCTCGAAAGACATAATATCGTAAGGTTTACGCTGGTATTATGATCTAACTACGTTCAACAGTCAGGTCTGTTGAGCTACATCATATGGTTCCATCCTCATCTGCATCCCTTCCCCCGTCGTAGATGATCATCGCCAGGTTCAAGTGGATCTCGGTAGGCGCGGTTTAGGACGGTATTCCGTGGTAATTCAACAGTCTAGAAAGGCTCCCGAAAGCCGAGACTACCGGGGCATAGGCATATCCCCAAGAGTAGGTTGAGAGCTGTAATTAGTTAGCATGGATGGATGTGTTTTGTATATGTAATTGCCTGTGTTTAGGACCGGAGACTGACCGAGGTCGGCCGTGGGGGGGGCATGAGTGAGGCGTAGCTATAGTCTATGTTAGAGCTCACCAACAAGAGCTGGCCCATTCATAATGTTAGAGTTTAGAGCTCTTTCGATTTAGTCCATGGTGTTGTACACAGCTACTGTACACATCTTGTCTTGGTTTAGTGCCTCATGCTGCTGCAGCTCACTCACAGCTAATCTGCTGTCCCTCTCGATTGACTTTTGACCAATTCACTCACTTCTTTCATCTCACATTCTCTATTTTCATTCCTTTCATCATTAGCTTTCTCACAATGAAGCCCGGTACATCTCTCCGTCTTCGGGCCCTTCGACAGGTTACACCCAGTAGCCGTTTGTCTCTCCCCGCTTCAGCAAGATGGCAGCATTCCCGGGCCATGTCAACAGTTGTTGACTTCCATCCTCGACCTTCGCAGCCGCCTCCTCCTCCGGCTGGAGCTAATGAAGCGATTGAAAAGCAGAGGGCGGAGAAGAGGAGGCAGATTCTGAGGGAAGCTGTCACGTCGACTCAGGTTCGACATGACTGGACCAAGGAGGAGATTGCGGCCATTTACTACCAGCCTGCCCTTGAGCTGGCATATCAAGCTGTAAGGACATCTCTTTTCATTCGATCGTGATTGTGACTGCTGTTGTCGTTCAATGATGAGCTCAATCGATGGGCATATCTCACAGAGCAACACCATGACTAACACAAACTCTTAGAGCACCGTACACCGTCGATGGCACAACCCCGCCGAAGTGCAACTCTGCACTCTGATGAACATCAAGACAGGTGGCTGTACCGAAGACTGCTCCTACTGCGCCCAATCAACCCGTTACCAAGAAGGCACAAAGGTTCCCGCCAAGAGAGTAGAGAGTGTCGAGAGCGTACTAGCAGCTGCGCGAACAGCCAAGGAGAAGGGAAGCACTCGATTCTGCATGGGCGCCGCATGGAGAGATATGCGCGGTCGCAAGAACAGCTTGAAGAACATCAAGGCTATGGTAGAGGGTGTCAAAGGTATGGGTATGGAGGTCTGCGTGACGCTGGGCATGATCGATGCAGAGCAGGCAAAGGAGCTCAAGGCCGCGGGCCTCACGGCGTACAACCACAACGTCGACACTAGCCGTGAGTTCTACCCGTCTGTCATCACGACGCGCAGCTACGACGAGCGACTACAGACGCTGAGCCACGTGCGCGACGCTGGTATCAAGGTGTGCTCAGGTGGAATTCTCGGTCTCGGCGAGACAAGCGAAGATCGCGTTGGTCTCCTTCACACCGTGTCGACACTCCCAAGTCACCCGGAGAGCTTCCCCGTCAACGCACTGGTCCCCATCAAGGGCACGCCGCTGGGCGATCGACCGATGGTTGAGTTCACGAGCATGCTGCGAACCATCGCCACGGCGCGTATCATCATGCCCTCGACCATCATCCGCATCGCGGCGGGTCGCAAGACCATGTCGGAGGAGAAGCAGGCCTTGTGCTTCATGGCGGGTGCGAATGCTATCTTTACAGGCGAGAAGATGCTCACGACGGAGTGCAATGGCTGGGATGAGGACGCCGCCATGTTTGGGCGCTGGGGTCTTGAGCCCATGAAGAGCTTTGACAAGTCTCCCCAGCCTGCACCTGAAGTTCGAGTTCTGTAACAGTCAGAATTGCTTAAATTGAGTTGCAAGTTTCAGCGCATCATGCCCCCATGTAATACAAAACTCTCCATGCTACTAAGTTATCGAAGTTTATCATGTCCGGCCCGCACCGGCTTCGTTCCGGTCGCGAGAATGACAAAAAAGAACAGGCAAGGTGTATTAGTGATAACCGAGGAGCGGATAAAATGCGATAGGAATCACATCACGTTAGCAGAGGCGCATGAGATGGAGATAACGAGGATAATCAAGAGATGCAGTGGAGCTAAGAGGGCCATTCTCTGCGCGTGACTCGCGGATTTCTGGGTTTGTTGGGCCAATCTCGTGACGACCAACCACGAGAACAGTTGAATTTATTTAGTTAGTTGGTGTTGATGATCAGATTTACAGGGGGTTTTGAGTTTTGTATATTCGTCAGAAAGTCATTTTCATTTGGCTCTGCAAGATGTGCAATTGTATATGGTCAGCTGGTGAGAGCTGCTGCACTTTGTGTGACAAACCCTCCTTGTATCAGGTAGATAGATACAAAGATATATATCCCTCAAATGGTAAACATGATGGATAAATACTAGATTTTGTGATGACGCTTCTGCTTAATGCCTGCAACATCATTCGTCCAAGCGTTGAAACGAACAGGTTACACGCAGTTCATGGACAAGGGAATCAATGGCCAACAGATGACCAAGTGGCAGACTAGAATACTGCAAGTATGCATAGGCTATGTATGTATTATTAAGAGATCCAACAGCAATAGCAACAACAGAAAACAAACAAACAACAAACAGACAGACAGACTGCTACATAAATCCAATAGGTCCTGGTTCTTTGTAACCACAGACAGACAGAGACAGACAGAATTGCTGACCTGTATCCGTAGACCGCTTACACTCCATCCTTTACACACCCCCGCCTAGTCTATACCTACTCAACTCATGTACACCCCGAGAGTTGATGAGCTTTAATCCAGGCGCATTAGGTCCCGGCCTCAGAATCATCCCCAGCCTATCAAGTGACCCTTCTATGTCCTGTAGGCTCCCGATGGGGGGTGCTATTGGCACCACTCAAGCCCGCTTCTGGTCCCTGGGGCTGGGGGCTAGGGGCTGCCCTGGCCTGCGCCTACTAAGGCCCCTAGGTGGGTTGGCACCAAGCCAAGATAGAAAGGAGGGGCGCCAGACAAGAAAAAAAAAGAACCCGCCGCCGCCTGGAGGAAAGAAAAAAAAAAGATGGAGGGTCTGTTCCCGACACCGTGGAGTTAGTTAGAGTGTGTTTTCCAATGCATTAAATGCATGCCAATAATTACATGAGCATACCATCCATACCATGCCATTCTTCACTTCCATATTAACTTGTCACTTCCCTCCCTGGTCTCACCAATAACTCTCTCCTCTTTTCTTTCTAGCCGCTGAATCTACACTCAAATTTACCTCCAGGGTTCTACGAGAGAGTCTGTTCAACTCTCGCAACTCACCCATCGTATCTCTCTGTCGCAAAAGCATCTTCGGCCTTGCCGTTCCTTGCCTGATTCCACCCCCGCCGAGAACGCCCGAACATACAAATCTCACTGCTCAGCCTGGTTTTGAATTCCTCTCTTCAACTTTTCATCCTTCCTGGTCGCCTACCTGCCTTGCTTTATCTGACCCTCAGCAATACGTGTCACACTGCTGCCTCGTACCAAGGACTATCGACAACACAACACAACCGAAATTGCGTGAACGACCATATTTCTACTCCCAACTTTTCTAAACAACGGCTAGCATAACCAAACTGAAGCCTCTTCGACAAACCTCTACCTGTTTTAACGTCTCCGACATCGGCCTTACCTCACCACCACCATGAAGGGCCGTCCCGTTGACCTGCTCGTTTACGAGTGCATGTTCCCTCGTCCCAAGAACAACGACCCTCAGAACTTCCATGGTCTGCTCCAACGCAACTTGATCCCAGAGGTTCGTCAGGAAACACACGCTTTCTACGGCCACCTCGACACCCAGGAAGCCAAGTACCCCGGCCTCGACTACACTCACCACACCCATCGCATTCGTCTCTCTCGCTGGCCATGGCACCGACGACTCTTCCGCGCCTTCGACAGCCTCAAACTCACCGGAGCCGAAATCGCAGGCTTGACCAAGTGGGAGGGGACAAAATGGGCCAAGGAGAAGTACGAGAAGGAGCAGGGATATGTTATTCATGACACCACCGCCGACGATTTCCCTGACTGGGCCGATATCGAACACCTGCCCCGCGCCAACCGAGATCAGTCCGTCGAGGTGGAAGGCGTTGCTATTGACGATTTGTACAACGAAATGATGGAGGTCGAGAGCGAGGACGAGCTGGATAGTGTGGGTGTCGAACTGAATGAGCGCCTCAGGGACGGTGTTGCGAGACGTGATGCCGGAGACACTTCAGCTGTCCTCGACGAGGAATGGGAGCAGTGGCTAAAGAACGCCATTGAATCTGGTGAAATCAACTACTTGAACGACCACATCTTTCACGACAGCGACACTGTCCCTGCAGCTCTCTTCCCTCCAGGCTTGCTCAGCACTGCCCGAGCTGGCCAATGGCATGAGATCCCCGAATCTCTTCACCGCATCCTCCGCCGCACGCTGCAGTCAGAGGACCCCAATCGTCCCCAACAGACGCAGACACCGATGCAGACACTACCACAACAACCGCAACCACAGACATCGAGCCTGCGCTCTACATCCTCCCTGCGGCGCCACCTGATTGACAACCGGCAGTGGCGTGCTTCATGGACACGTCGCACCTTTTCAGATCTCCGTCTGCCTGTGGGCGATGCTAGTTCAGGACGAGCAGATAATTCCAATGCTTGAATATCAAGCTAAGAAAACGAAATATGAAACGAAGTGAAAAGATAAAAAGACCAAGCAAAGAAAAGCAGCTATTTCTTACGAATTATACCCTCTTGGCTTCGTCCCTTTTCCGGTGAAGCCTTTTTTTATCCAACACACAGCGATCAGACAGACACACGCACGCCTGGCCCCATCATTGGATTGGGGCACGGAGCCCGCAGCCTCAAATGCAAGCATGACCAATGTTTCATCCCTGTCTCTGCTCAGGCATCCAAGGGTAGACAACAAGCAACCGACCATACGAGACACACACAGACACACACAAGACATCCATTACTTTTTTTTTGGCATTTTTCTTTGTTTGCCCATCCACATTATGGATCATGGTGTCTGGCGATTGGAAAACAGTAAACGGGGGAAACATCTGTATGATCTTTTTATGGGAATTGAACATTATGGACCTGGTTGATAGAATGTTTGTTGCTTGACATTCGATTCGATTGGCAAGGAAAGAGGCGGTTTCCTCGATCTGGCTCTCTTCGCCTTGGTGCTTGTGCTGGTCACATTTGAATCATACGGGCTTATTGATAGATAGCCAGCGACTTATACCTGTTTATAAAGGGTTTTCTATGTTAATCGGGTTTGCAAATGAATGTTCTGATTGTGACGACAACTTAACCTACAGAGGAAATGTTTTTATCAAACAAAGAGGATCATCTTCACTCAACACCCTCTTAGAAGCCTCTCGAGTATACTTTCGTAGAAGTCGATGCATTCAGAAGTGCTTGGCACCACCTATTGTGTTACCAGGATAACCACTAAACATGTTACAGGGTGGGCTGGATCCTTTTCTCACTTCATCATCACAAGCAGTCTATATAAAACCTCGAGGACCCAAGAGATCTCACAAGCATGAACTCGATATTCTGAATTGGCCGGGGAAAAAAAAGAATCTCACTGATAATTAGTGAGATATGCAAAAGAAAGGGCCTGACCGGGGATTGAACCCGGGACCTCTCGCAAACTTTAGTCCTCTTGTGAGAACTGAGATGTCAATCCCGAAGCAAGAATCATACCGCTAGACCATCAGGCCGGACACTAGATCCTAGATCATTTGTTAGTGCTCGTGTCGCAAAACTTGAATTATGAACGCTGGACTCATCGACGCAGGATATAGAATTCCTTTGATTACACACCCGCTCTTGGTTGATAGTCAAAGAAACAATTAGATTGAGGCAAGATTATTGAACGATACGACTAGGCATTACATGATCCACAATGGGTCTCCCTGTTATTGTTGTGTAGCACCAACGTGGGCTACGAGAATCATGACATGCAGCAAGCCTGGCTTGCACCTGTCATGCTGTGGCAGTGCCTTACACAGAAGATTTATTATGTTATCGAAGAGGTGTTGGTCTACGATCTGTTAAACTACGATCGCAAGGATAACCTCAGCCTGTCCAGTATGCATCTGCCTGTTACGGTTTACAGAGTATCGACAGTCATCAGCTCGGTTCATTGATGATGCTAGAGACTTGGCATATGCACTATAGCCTCCAAAGATGGCTACTTAACATAAAACATGGTATTCATTACACTGCTACCAGAATCCAGAAACTCCTCGCTAATCCTGACCCTTTACCCACCCAAATAGATTATAAAAGACACCTCAATAGCTACTCATCCGTCGTGTGCCCCGAAGTTGTCCGAAGTTTGATGCGGATGCGATTCCTTTGTTTTGGTTTACTAGCTGGACGAGAGCTCTATCTCTCAGGCTCCAGATGTGACCACTCAGGAATCGCCTTGATCTGCTGCCACATGAACTTTTCGAGCTTGTTCGCCGACTTCGCGTAAGGAGTGCTCTCATTGTTGTACTTCCTGCAGTTGTCGAAAACAAGCTTGGCGTCCCTGATGAAATCTTCAGGCGTAAGGTACTGGTCGGCCTCAAGTTTGCTCTCCATCGTACTCAGATCCATAGGCTCCTTGATAACTTCGTAGTAGTCGGCCACATCGTCGCGGTTAACAGGCACAAGGAATGGCCAGGCTGAGTTGTGGTTCTGTAGATCGTTCAGTAAGTGGAGAAGTTGGTTGTAGTTGGGTCCGTGACGAGGTTGGCGGGCCAGCTCGTCCATATCAGGGGACCACCCAGATGCTCGAATGGCAGGAATATCGAGAGGGTTGATCTCGGTGACTCCATTCTTCCACTCCTTCGGCGGAGCATGGATATTGTGTGATTTGGAGTAAGCGCGGATCTTGGCTTGGACGCATTCTTTCTGCTTAAGGAGCATGCGACCCATTTCGAGATATCGAATCCGCGGCAGCATCGAGCACTGCATAATCGTACCGCCTTCGTAATCTTTGATGTATCCCATCCAGACTTTCTTGTCGAGGGTGATTTCCTTAGTGAAACCCTGCTTTTTAAAGTAACCAATAGCGTAGTTGTCGGCATAAGTGAGGAAATGCATCACGTCGCTTGTCGCCTTGACGTAATCTTTCAAGTGTGACATGAGATGGGCACCGTATCCCTTGACCTGCTGGTCAGAACTAATGGCACAGAAAACAATCTCGGCGAAACGGCGACCCTTAAATGGGCGATATGTGATTCCTCCAACAACTTCCAGTGGCTTCTTAACGATGGCAATCGATAAATGTGTTCGGTCGTAAACTAGTCGCGCAATATAATCCTTAGGCATTTTGGGAAGTTGTTTTTGAAAGATACATTTGAGTCCGGTTAAGATGATGAGTGATTCGCGCTCGTTGTCGTTGTTGACTACTCGGAATTCGATTTCCCCATTGCGCTCTTCGATGACGGCGGGCTGTAATAACCATGTGAGTACATGATACATATTAGAGGTTTATTGAAAAGCCAACCTTTTCGGGGAAAGGAATCCTCTTGATCTCCGGCTTCTTCTCTGGAGGCTCAGCCGACTCATCTTGCTTGATGCGCTTCGATGGGGTAGGAGACGATGGCTCCTCCTCGGCTTTGCGCTTGCCGTCTAAGTGAGATATTGTGAGTAATTCCATCGTTATCGCGATCGCATGTTTGATCAGACTTACTATCTTCTGACATATTCGCAACAGGAATCCTGGAGGGTTCTTCAACCGTGAAAGTTGATTAGGGAGCAAGTGAATTATGATAGAATGGAGTATCATGACAGCGGAGTGAGGCGCGTCGAGAATGTCCGTGCACTGCTTATGTCATTCAATGTGGGACCCTCCAGCTTGAGGCAGGAGCTGGCAGGGGTAAGGGTGCACTAAACCCTATTCGTCTATGGACACGATGCGCCATCGTAAGCTCATGAAGCTTCCCCAGAGCATCTCCTAACAAAGCAGTTTGTCAAGCCAACGCATTCACCTCAACTTTTCTACCGCGACAAGTCAATTTCTCTCAAGCACCCACTACTAGCCCTCTCAAACCACACTCCATTCTTCTCTCCAGTTTAGCCTATGGATTCTTCGCTGCATGAGGTCTGGCAAGCTGCTGCTGGCAGTCCCTTCTTCCCTACTGTGAGCAAAGGAAGCCAGTTCTGGGTCGCCTTTTTCTTGCTCTTCCTCGGATTCTCTCTCACCGGCGTCTTTGCCCTGAGTAGGTGAAATATTTCTCATCTGCTTTCCTGCTTACTGACTGGTTTCAGACCGCACACTCGTCAACGTTCCCGTACTAGGCATTCCAGCCTCCATCGCCATTGCGTACGTCTTCCATCGGCTGTCAATTATTCTCAATTACTTACTTTCGACAGTTTCGGAGTGGTCTATATGTTCTGTGCGGTCGGAGTCTACGTCTAAGATACCCAAAAGTCCTCATTTCGATCGGTTTCGTGTAAAATAGTTGGAGCAATCAAGACAAGACGCTACTACAGGCGCCTATTGCTTTTCTGCCAGTTTTCGTACTTTTTATCCACACATTATCTTCAATCTACCACAGTCACAATCTCGAAATGGCTCCAGACGCTCAGCCAATCTTTCGCGCAGTTGCGACTTCGACCAGGCCACTGTATCAACTTCTCAGGTGCATCAACTTTGCACCGAGAGTTCACGTTCAAATTACAGAGGATGGCGTCCGTTTCGCTGCTGACCATGCACGGGTGATGCAAGGTTAGTTTGACAGCTATCCCAGAAATAGACCACAACTGACAATCATCAGGAGTTGCATTTCTCGATAAAGCTCTCTTCTCATCATATACAGCCAATCTTCCGGCTCAGGATGGCGATAATCCGCCCGAGCTTCCTAATTTCCAACTTTCTTTATCTTCTGTTCTCGAAGTACTCCAGATTTTCGGAGCTGTAGACGTAGCCACGAGGGCTCAAAAAGCAGACCAGGATCCTTATCGCAGCAATCTTCGGAACTATCGGCCTGATGCTTTCAGTAACCAGACTCTTGGTATTTCTGGCACCTGTACTCTGCAGTATAGCCAAGAGGGGGATCCATTCAAAATCACCATCGAGGAGTCTGGCGTTAAGACAACAGCGTCATTGACAACCTATCTACCAGAAATACCTGATGATATTCCATTTGACCGCAATGATCTGTCCTTCAAAATCATTATGCAATCTCGAACACTACTCGATTCTATGGCAGAGATTTCCCCAACAGCACCCACAAAGCTAACTATCGCAACCACTAAAACCTCGCCATTTCTATCTCTCGCTGGTGTCGGGGATCTTGGAAGCTCAGGAGTGGACTTCGCTCGTGGGAGAGACCTTCTCGAAACTTTCAACGTCCAGGAGCGCTGGTCTCAGGCGTACAAGTTTGACTTTATCAAGAATTCAACAGAAGCAATGCGGATTGCCACCAAGGTTAGTTTACGAGGGGATGGTCAGGGGGTGCTGAGTCTACAATTCATGGTAGATATTGAAGGTGGCAAGCGAAGCTTCTTGGACTTTCGGTTCGTTCCATTCATCTCACACGACGAAGAAGATGATGAGAACGATGAGTTAGAGGAGGCTGGCGAAGCAGACTAGATGTAAAAGGGTCTTCACAAAAGGACGTTAATGTGAATAAATTGTCTCACCCAACCACT